TTTTTTTAACGTTTCATCAGGTGGAAAATCACGATGCTACTAAAATCCGAAATGCAGTTAATGAAGCACATCTTCCACTTCCGTCATTAGAAAGTTTCCCATAACAGGTAAAAAAGAATTTACATGTGGAGAAAGAAAGGTAGCTAGGATGATTGCAAAAACAGCAAAGAGAGAGAGAGAGAGAGAGAGAGAGAGAGAGAGAGAGAGAGAAGATGAAATAAGATGTAAAAGGCCAAGAAAAGGAAATAAAAGTTGAGGAAAAAGGTGGAAGGAGGTAAGATAAAATAAGAAGTGACAAATTCAACCAATTGTATTCCGTCGAATCATAGAATTCGTATTTTAACGGTTAATATAGCGGGGTTAGAGGTTAATGTTTCTTAGACAAAAGCTTCCTAAGCTCGGAGACAATTATTCATGAAATATAAAAAGAGTACTACAGTATTTTATGAAATGGACTTTCTAATATAAATTAGAATACTAAACCGATTTTAATTCTATATTGTCATATAATTTATACTTAACCAAATTTTACTTTACAATATGAATTAGAATACTACATACATTTTAAACTTTCGTATTATTTTTTAACATGAAGAGTTATTAAAGAGAAAAATAATTCACGTAATATAACGAATATTTTTTAAAAATAAATAAGTAGTGAAATCGGGACAGAAAAAAGTAAAATAACATTAAAATTAATATTAACCTTCAAATTTCAATAAATTAAGTTGGAAAAGGGAGTTGATGTTATTGCATATAGAAAGGTAAAAAACAAAAATGACAGCGAGTTACAGATGACCGTGCATCGAAACCCGACCGACTCGACGCCACTCAACACTCCATTGAGAACGACTGCTAATTTTATGTGTATTGTTTTTAGGAATGTGAACAAACATTTTTATATTTTTAAATTTCTATAAAATTATAATAGTAATTTATCAATATTAATTATAACGTATTATTGAAGAGGTTAAGTAACAATGTTTAAAACAAATAATGGATAAATAATAAAAATACAAATAAAAGTACAAATAAAATTAAGATTATCATATATGTAACTTAAAGAAGTAAGAATAAGAATATATTTTAAGTCCAGAGTTAAATTTCAAAGTAAAATTAAAATGAAATATATAATACAAGTATAACTTGGGTATATTGACGGTGTTACAATGCTATGTTTATAAAAAATAATAAACATAAGGGAATTCATTCGTAGATTAGAAATTTCTTTAGCAAGATTGTAAGGTTAATTCCTTTGTATGTTTACAATTTATTGCCGTTTCATATCTCCGATTCAATAGATTGTCCTTGTTCGAGTATTTAATTATTTGTATTTTCTCCTGCAGGCAGAGAAAGCACTGCAGGAGAAAAAAAAAGCATTGTGTTATGTGTGCGTAGCGTAAATACACTAGCAGGAAAAACTGTTAGCTAAATATTATCGAAAACAATCTTAATGACAACTAAGCCCGAAATATGTTGTTTTGTTTTTTGTCGATATGTATTTTCGCAATATAAACCGTGCAAACTGGATTCTGAAAATATATTTAAAACGAATAATAATTTTACAGAAGGAACCTTAACACTCAATCGGTTTGAGATGAGTCTCAAGCAACGTCGCTGATTGGTCAACAAATGCTAATGTGTAAATTTGAATTTGATGTTCATGTGACCCTATTTTTTCACAGAACTGAGATCATGGTTATACAACTTAAATCTATTGATTTTTTTCTACAATTCATAATTGGATTCTACACACACATCTGCACACACACACACATACACACACACACATATATGTGAAAATATGAAGAAATATAGTCTTTAGATGTGCTATATTTATGGGATAAAGTGCTCAATATCAGAGATAGAGCGTGTGTAAATATAAAAGTGAACATAGAAGTCAACACTTAGAGGTGACAGTTTGTTTCATGCTAGATGCAATCGTCAGGCCACGAGACTCTTGGCCTGACGATTGCATCTAGCATGAAACAGACTGTCGCCTCTAAGTGTTGACTTCTATGTTCACTTTTATATATGTGAAAATATATAGAAAATAGGAAAGAACTCGTCAGGTAAATAATCCAAAGTTCTTTAGTATTTTTGTTATTATTTTTAAAAAACAGTGCTCGATACAAAAATTTCAAGAATTAGTTATTCCAAAAATTTCGCTTGAAGATGGAACAGAACTTGGTACTTTAATTCAATTTAATTCAAATAATTATATTGAAGTTTTCGGCTCTTGTTTTGAAACATGAGAAATCTTATGTAGCGAAGGAATCATATTTTTTAATTAAATTGGCAAATCAAAAATTCGAAGGTTTTTCGAAACGAGTATAGTTACCTATATTTGTATTTTATATTTATATATATATATATATATATATATATATATATATATATATATATATATATATATAATGCAGGCAAATATTTTGGGATTCACTCTGCATAAAAAAAACACCTTAAATGATATATATTTTGTATTTTTTAAGTGAACGATAGGATTCTGACAAAGATAAGCACTATAAAAACCTGTCATGCAACATCATCCTATTTTGTTTTCGTCAATAAAACCACTACCTGCCTTAATTAACTGTTTTGCAAATTCTTGGCATTCTTTCAAACAGTTTTTGAAAGAAAAGGCAGATGGCAGACCTTTCCAAAGATTCTTCAAGCATTGAAAATAGTCAAGCTCGCTCTTTGGTATTCACTTCGAACTTTCTTATCCAATTTATCCATTATTAATTCAACTGGAGAGAGAACTAGGGATTCAGGCGGGCAATGCATAATTTCCAAAATGTTGTTCCTTTTCTTTGACTCGAGGTTATTTTCACATAATTTAGAAAAGTGTTTTCGATGAGTATCTTGTTGAAAGGTGATTTTTTTGTAATTCTGTCTAAACCAGATTGTATAGAGTGATTTTTTTGTTTTGCAAAATCGAATGATATTGTTCATTTTTCATGAATCCCTTGACCTGAATCAAATCACCAGGTCTCTCCTCACCAAAACGTCCCCACATGATTAACAAACCCACCATCAATTTTGAGAAGCAAACATTTATTTTTCAGTCTTTCCACTGGATTTATTTTCACATACACGATATTCTTACTACAAAAATGTTAAAATATGGACTCATCCGTCCACAATACATTGTACCCATAATATTCTTTTCTGCTTATTCACCTTCCATAGTAAGGGTTTCTTTGCGGCTAAGCACTCCTTTATCCTCACTGATCTAAGATGATTGTCACAGTTGAGAGCGACACGGGTTGCTATGGAGAGGAATTAAGTTTAGCCGTCAACTCTGAAGCAGTTTTCGTTCTATTTCTTTTAATATTGATAATCAAGTGAATATTTTTAGCAGAAGTTATCACTTTTAGTGCACCAACTCTTTTTGTCAACATTTGCAGCTGTTTCTAACTGCCTTTGTAACGAATATTGTGACTCATGTCTTGAAATCTTCAGCCTCTTGACAATTTGTCTTTGAAAGTAGCCTTCTTTTAATAAAATTTGTACCCTCAACTCAATGTTTACCTGCTTTGAGTTTTCTATTTTGTGAAAATTATTTCAAAATTAAAAAAAAAAAAAAAAAAAACCTTGACTTACTTAGGAAGCGGAAAGAAAACAATAACATTTCATAAATAAAGTGTATCATTCTCGATGGTCTTTTGTCAGCGATCAGCCAGCATCCGAATTCTTCCAGATACCAATCCGCTGGCTTTGAATAAGAAAAACTGTAAGCAAGCTTCCCTCACTTCATCAAAAATGTTGAATTGCTGGTTGCGGAGAAAGTGTGCTATTGAACGGAATAGGCCATAGTCACTCGGAGTAGCATCGGGACTGAATGGTGGATGTGGAAGAATCTCAACACCGTCCATCTGTTTCAACACCTCTTTAGTCAACCTGGCAGGGTGTGGCCTTGCATTGTCTTGCTGAAACAAAGCCCGACCTCAATTGACCAAAGCAGTATACGCCTTCATTAGTCTGTCGTACACGCGTTCTATCTGCTGGCAATACAGTTTAGCGTTGATGGCGCGGCATGTGGAACAAGCTCAAAATGCAATACTCTTTGGAAATTCCACCAGATAAAGATCAAAATTTGTTGTTTTCTTTCCACTTCCAAAGTGAATTAGGACTTTCTGATCAACCCAGTATAAAAATACTGTCGTAATGGCACAATCTTTTTTTCTTCAAACAGAGACAGCTGTATATGTTTTGTTTATACGATTGACCAGTCAACATTTAGAACATGTATTAACATTTAACTTAGTTGAAAAGTTTACTAAGGGGTTAATTTGTAAAACAAAATAATGTTTATCATAGAACTAATCTAGCCATTTCAACTGTAAAATGATGCGACCTTGCCGCTAATGTAGTCGAATTCTTAAGAAAAACCTCTTTGTTACCAGTATACCACAATATATGAACAATTACAATGAAAGAATTTATAGAAATGGTACAGAGAAGGTACCTTGCGGCGTTTGGAAACTAACTGAAGCCGAGTGGCCAGGTCAGGACTGATAACATTTCAGATTATTCTTTGTATTTTATCAAGAATATGTAAATGGTGATTTTCTAAGCGTAGCTTAGATTTGGCAAAAGACCGAGATTATGGGGCAACCAGTGAGATTCGAACTCACTACTCATTCGTCATTGTTCCAACAAGATAATCTTGTTAACCATTACACCAAGTCGAGGTTCCCATCAAGAATATCTAAAAGAATAGCAGAAGCACCCAGCCAGATGTGACAGGAATATTCAATTCGTGGATGAATGGTAGACTAATAAATATGTAAGGTAGATTCTGTCTAACACCACATAGTGAACGAACTTTACGAGCAGCAGACCTAGGAAAATGATGAGACCATGTCGATAATCTAGCATTGCGCATAAATTTATAAAGTCTAAATATCATTCAAAGCCATTTCAAAGATTTTTCTAACCTTGTTTAAATGGTGTCGTCGAAAATTTTACGTCAAACGACGCTCCATTTCCGGCACATGTATTTTTCTTCGTCTGCCAAACTGTTTCTAATTTCCCACTTCGCATGTAAATCTGCAAATTTATTTTTCAATTTCTTTTTACTCTTCCTCTCAATTTCTTACTTTTCTCTCTCATTTTCAACTTTCTCCATCTCTCTTCTTCTTTACTCTGCATTTTGCTCAAACTCCTACCCACCTCTAAACTAGTCTTCTTTCTGCTTTATCAATCCAATAAGCAGACGACATTCTACAAGCTGCATTCCGTCTTCCGTCCCTGAGGGATTGATACCATTCGTCATTGTTTACGATCTCGCGAGATTCACATAACAGTCCACTTGTCAGTTATAGATTTATGCAACGTCACACCGATTGCTTTGCCGACATTTTTTTCTGATAAGCAGGTCCCTGGGTTCACTCGTTACCATCTTAAATATGACACCAACATCGGCTTCACAATTAAAAGAAAATGCAAACAATGGCGCTGTTTCCTCTAAGTTTGAAACTTTGTGCGTCAAAGAAATGCATTCATATGCAGACGTTGAGTAATAACATGTAAGTGCCAAACTGCCTTACTCTCATAAACGCTGTTAGGAATTGGTTGGAATTCCATAATTCAAAATATGATTGGTTTAGTAAAATTCCTTAGGAAACTGATTTACAATCGATATGTATATATATATATATATATATATATATATATATATATATATATATATATATATATGTCTGATACCTAATGATGAAAAAAGTATATATTTTTACTTTTCAATATAATCACCTTCTTTGTCAATGCACTTAATTCAGCGATGAGTATTAGTTACATACAGAGCCATATCAATAAGTTTGTAGCCTAAGGATGGCAAAAGTATTTATATTATACACGTATACATATATATCTTTCTCTTTATGTAATCGCCTTACTTTTCAATGCACTTAATTTATTTATAAATACTAATAGTATACATCAAGCATTATACACTGAACGTCTCAGATCAAATTTGATATATATATATATATATATATATATATATATATATATAAATATATAGATGAATTCTGTGGAAAAGACAGATGGTATCTGTGGACAAGACATTGGATTGGACAACTGGAAAAAATCATACATTTTTGCCGACGCGTTTCGTCTTCCGACTTTTTCAAGGCAAAAAATGAAATCGAAATGTTTTGTTGTTATAGTTACATTAAAATTAAAAATTAAAAGATAGACGCTTGTGTCTAAGCCTTTTTTCTGGTTAATGTAAATTACCTTTATAGTAAGGGATTATTATTATTTACATTAAAGACGAAACGCGTCGGCAAATGTATGATTTTTTTCCAATTGTCATTTGATACCAATCTGTCTTGTCCACAGAATTCATCTGGGAATTTAACTATATTGTCGACATGGAAAAAAAATAATAAAAAAATCCCTTATTATAAAGGTAAATTACATTAACCAGAAAAAAAGGCTTAGACACAAGCGTCTATCTTTTTAATTTTAAATTTTAATGTAACTATAAAAACAAAAACATTTCGATTTCATTTTTGCCTTGAAAAGTCGGAAGACGAAACGCGTCGCCAAAATGTATGATTTTTTTTTTCCAATTGACATATATATATATATATATATATATATATATATATATATATATATGCGCACTTGAGAGATTTAATAAAGGGATCATGCTCTTCAGCAGCAAAGAGTAATTGAGCCATGACCCTCTGTGGCCAGGCAGGCTAAAGCAGTCAGGATTACTCGGTGATTTTCTTACAAACTAGGGCGCATGTTCCTAATCTGTTGGCGATTACATTTCCTATATTAAGTCTATGTAAGGCCTTTAGACGTAATTTAAACAACTAAAAAAAAAAAAAGGACGTTTCCTCAAACATGGGTATCCGATATATATATATATATATATATATATATATATATATATATATATATATAGTATATATTTTCATTCAATCAGCTTTGGTTGAATAATTTAGATGTATTATTTAAAATAAACAGTGAAAAAATATTTTTAATTTACGGAGCTATTGTATACACGACCACAGATATTTTAATCCCCTGGAGAATGTCTCAGATGAGATTGAATGCCCTTGGGAGAAAAATTGTTTGAAAGAAAATTTGGGTATTTTTCTTAATAAATTTTCTACAGCCGCCAAGAAATTAATTTGTGGACTTGAAAGGATTAAAAGTAAATAAATAAACATGATACGTCTAAAGTATTGAACCAAACCTGCTTGAATATATATATATATATATATATATATATATATATATATATATATCACCTCAAAAAAGGCAATAAAGCCACCAAGGCGCAAAGTGTTACTGAGTGAGTGTGAACAAAATATAAAATTATTAAAGAGTGAAGGCAATAAAAAGACTAGAATTAAAAAAAAGTTTTGAAGATCAAAATTGACTGGAATTCAAGAAGCCGGAAGAGAGTTTCCCAAGCGAGAATTGCGGAAGAAGCAACTGTTAACATAGAACTTACGGTTCCATTTTTCCATTTCAATGGTAACAGGGTGATACTTTGCCGCCAATCTAATACTACGCTTGAGTTCATAAAGTCTCGGCAGCCATGCGGAAACCTCATCAGAAACATAAAATTATTTTTAGAAAAGGCTCACACACACACACACACACACACACACACACACACAAACACACACACACACACACACACACACACACACATATATATATATATATATATATTTAGAGGAATATGTGTGGATAAAACGGAGAAATAAACAGTCATCACCACGACTCTACAAATTTAAATAAGTTTTATTACTAAATATCTTTTCTTTCAAATTGAAAGAAATGAATTACAAAAATCCCTTTGTGAAATAACTACAGAGAAAAATATTTTTATTTATTTCTTTACAATAAAAGCGAATCAGTTGAGTTAGTATAGGAGAAACAGAATGCGTTTCCTTATGAGAATAAGTATGTCACGTATTTACGCAGTTTTATGTATGCGTGTAATTTCTTAGCAGTTGGCAACCAGTCGGCAAGAGAGTTGTGTTAATACTACTGTTTACGTGTGTAAGTAAAATCTGTCCGTATATTTTTGTTTTTCTTAACTCAACATTGCTAAGCCTTTTTATAATAGAGTTTACACGAATAAATAAGCCAGCATGCGAGTAATTTCTTTTTAATCGGTACCACACAATGCAAGCTGAAATCAGTAAAGCCACAAAGACACAAGAGGATAATACTGTGCGTAAGAATTAGAAATAGAAACATTACTAATGAGCGGGAAACGAAAGAGTAATCAAGAAGACAGTAGATAGCGATTGACATTGCATTTAAATTTTTGCAGAATAAAGTTCACTGGAAAGCATAGAGTTGGATAGGGGTTCCTCAAGCGAGAAGTGCGAGAAAAGAAACTGTTATCATAGAATTTACGGCTACTTCTAGACAGCTCAACTGTAAATTGATGAGATCCCGAAGCCAGTCTAGTACTGAGCTTAAATTCAAAAACTCTACGTACCATAGCGAAGATTTCATTCGTAAACATTACCATGAAAGTATTTATAGAAAATACACAGAGGTGCCGTGGGAAAGTGACTGAAGCCGATTCGCCAGATTAGGACCAATAATAATTGTAATTCTTCTTTGGATGTTATCAAGAAGCTCAAGGTATATAACAGAGGCACCGGACCATATGTGGCAGCGATACTCCAAACATGGAAGAATGGTAAATTCATAGATATGTACGATATAGTTTGGAGAGAAAAATTGTCTCGCACAAACAATGAACCAACTTAAAAGCTGACCTAGGAATGGATTCAATATAGTCTTTCGACTTCATGTCAGCTGTGAACTTTAACCCAAAAAGGAACAACGTATTACTTTTCTGGAGGTTAGCGTCAACCATTAATTAATTATAATTTGAGAATTTCAGCTTGCATAGTGAACAAACGACCCTTGTCAAAGGTTTACTGAAAAAACTAATACGAGAGCTTTTATAGCTGAGAAATTGGCTCCGAAAAGACTAAAAGTTAGATTTTATTAAAGTGATAAGTTTATTGGTTGATAAATATTTTACGAATATTTAAATATCTATTTTTAGGAGGGAAAAATATTGAAGATCATTTTCTGGGGTGAGCCTTCAGAAATTCGTAGCAGACAACAAAACACTGTTGTCTGAAACTTTCAAAGGTCTCCGCGCTTACAATTAACCGTCTCTGATACGTGAATGTGGAAGAAATTGAAATTGGAGCCGAAAATTTTCACAAAAATGAGTTAATTTTCAGTTTAAATAACATAACTTAAATCTATTGCCTTTTTCTACAATTCTGTAACGATGTGTGCGTGCGTGTGTGTGTGTGTGTGTATGTGTGTGTGTGTGTGTGTGTGAATATTAATAGTGTAATAGCAATGTAGTATTGTGCTGTAGTCACCTCAATTAATTAACTAATCTGTATACAATGTTACATATTTTTCAACGCGCATATGCGACTAGCCAGGCGCAATGATTATCCATTTCTAAACACCATCTGTCGTTGATACAGCAAATTGGGAAAATTTTGGTCACAAATTTTATATATGATGGAAATACTAAAAAAAAACTGAATTCTGACGTCGGCAATAAAAATTTTATTTTTAATATAAAAAAATATAGAAATCTTATAACTAAAAAAAAGAAATATATATTTAATAATATAACCTAGTGAAGAGCAAGGCTAAATTTTTGGAGAGTTGAACTCGTAAAAGTAGTTATATTAATTTGTTAGCCACAAACCTATGTCTCTTTCTTCCTTAATGTTTCATACAATCTTGACTCGGAAATAGGCTGGCGTTACAAACAAAAGAATTCACCAAATAAAAAAAAAACGCCTCAATGGAAGTCTTTTGATATAAACAACAACAAAAATGAATGACACAAGTAACAAGTAGAGAAAAAAAATAATATAATCCTAATGTAGACGTTCCACACTATGTCGAACAAAAGGTTAAGAAGGAAACGACCTTAACTATTAAAAGGAGTGATAATAGTAAAATTGAGAAGAATATTTTCTTGAAAAAATGTTTTTAAGAAAAAAGATTTTATAAATTTCAACGTACAATAGCGTTCAGTAAACGAATGTCTAATGTTTCCTGTATAGAAACGGTTAATTTCTCCATTTCCATTATAAATTTCAAACGACAATAACTCTAACTGTTCAGTCAATAAATGCCTAATGTTTTCTGTATGGAAACGGTTAATTTTCCCATTTCCATTATAAATTTCAACCGACAGTAACGCTAGCTTTTCAGTCAATGAATGTCCAATGTTTCTTGAATGGAAACGGATAATTTGTCATTTCCATTAAAAATTCCAACCAACACTAACGCTAAGTGTTCAGTCAATGAATGATTAATGCTTCCTGTATGGAAACGGCTATTTTCACCATTTCCTTTGTAAATTTCATCCAGCCTCATTTATATAAATGCCTAATGTTTCCTGTAGAGGAAACGGCTAATTTCCCTATTTCTATTATGAATTTCAACAAGCAGTAAAACTAAATGTTCAGTCAATGTATGCCTAATGTTTCGCTTTTTTCATCATTTTCATTAAAATTTCATTCCAAATTAAGGCTATCTGTTCAGTCAGTCAATGCCTAATGTTTCCTTTGTGGAAAGGGCTAATTGCACGATTTCCATTATAAATTTCAAACAATATTAAGTTTAACGGTTCAGTTATGGAAACGGTTATTTCCCCATTTCCATTACAAATTTCAACCAACAGTAACATTAACTGTCCAGTCAATGAATGTCTAATGTTTCCTGTATGGTAACGGCTTTTTTCACCATTTCCATTTTTAATTTCAACAGGCAACAACGCTAACTGTTCAGTCAATGAATTGCTTAACATTTCTTGTATGGAAACTGTAAATTTTATCATTAGTATTAGCATTATAAGCTTATGGCTCTTTCACGTTTATATACCGGTTCCTGTACTATCAATGAAATTAAGCCCCATGCATCTGGTCAGTACTGAGATGGGTGACCGTTTAGAAACCCCAGTAAGTTTCGATGTGGGGTTAATCTCATGGATCATGGCTCGGTATTTTTAATCGGAGAGCGGAATTCCAATTTCAGTTGAGTTTGTTATATTTGCTTACGCGCAAATACTTTTCGAAAAATATGAACCGCCCGTCTTCTCCTCCAGCTATGGGTTAATTAGTAAAACAGGTATCACTATATGATTATTATCTGAAAAAAAAAAACTATTCTTAACGTCTAAATTTCTTCTTTACATAGCCTGTCAAATTTTGATATACCTAGAAATCAATCAATCAGTTAACGTTATAAATTTCAGTCGACATTTTCGTGAGCTGTTCAGTCATTAAGTTCCGAATGTTTTAAACGGTTAATATTACTATTTTGGTTGGTTTTACATAGCACACCTGGTAATTAAGAACAAAGTATATTATACAGAAAAAAAAACAAATCTTCAATAGAAAGAATCAGTAAACTTCAAACAAAATTTCATACATATGAAACTTAGAAAAAAAAAACAAAAAAACAAAAAAAACAGAAAAAAGAAATTTACTCCCTACACCGAGGGTGACCTCTATACGGCGTTTGAAGTGACCGCTTTCCTGATTTGGCTGGTTCTCATTCTCGTTGTCCAACACCTCAACGAAGGTGCCGATAAAAGAAGACGCCTGAGACGTATTAGCCGAAGAGATTCAAATCTGGAGAGTTAGATAGTCACATATTAAGGTGACAGGATCATAAAGATTATTGGAGAGCAGGGACCTGTTGGAATGCGTACGGTGACCCGTCAATCCACTGCTTGACCACCATGACCATGACCATGACCTTGGTGTCGACAGTGGTATTTCTCCTGAGGGTCCGCGTGAAGGTATTAAGCCATGGACTTTATGGCTCACCATCGTTAAGGATCATCAGAGATCCAAACTTGGTACAATTCCCTGTGGATTATCTCCATGAAGTTCGGGAGGAAACACCGGTCGATCCCTCTGATTCCCTTTAAACACTGAAAAAGAATCAGAATATACCTGACTTCTTGTGCCATTACAACAAATGTTTAGATCAATTCTCAGAAAAATCTTTATATGCAATATTGTATATTTTTGTAAAAGATATTACACCTTCTATATTCATATTAAAAAATGTTAATTCTGAATTTTCCATTTTTCCTGACATAATCTATCTATCTATCTATCTATCTATTAATATCTATTTAAGTCTATTCATATTTAGGGCTATTCATATCCATCTATCTATCTCAGTCTATTCTTATCTATCTATCTATCTATCTATCTCCGTCTATTCTTTTCATCCATCTATCTATCTATCTATCTATCTATCTATCTATCTATCTATCTATCTATCTATCTATCTATCTCAGTCTATTAATATCTATTTAAGTCTATTCATATTTAGGGCTATTCATATCTATCTATCTATCTATCTATCTATCTATCTATCTATCTCCGTCTATTCTTTTCATCTATCTATCTATCTATCTATCTATCTATCTATCATAGTCAGTCAGATTAAACCAAAAATGTGTACTGGTGCCATGTCTGGACTGGAGCTACTCAATCCTCTTTCCACCCATGATAGTCTTCAAAAGCCATTACAGAGGATGAATTCTTTTCAACCTTACAGTCTCTTTCCCATAAACCTATCTTTTGGCCTTAAACTCAACCAAGACGTGGAAGTCGCGCATACAGTCCATGTCTAAAAATGCAGGAAAAATGGTTGGTGCCCTCTACCGCTCCAACAACTATCCTGTCATTTTCTACCTTTATAAGAGCCAGACCAGGTCTAAAATGGAGTACTGCTACCATATGTAGACAGGAACGGTCCAGTCTTCACTTTCCAGTTTTGACAGAGTCAAATTTCGTCTCTACATCCTTATGAGTGGCGAATTATTTTCCACCCTACAATCCTTTTTTTTCAAAGAAGAAACGTTGCAAGCCCCTCATTCTTTTATTGTTACTTACATGGAAAGTGCTCAGACGAACTACATTCCTTAGTTCCACCAGTTCTAACCTTCACGGCTGGGACCTGCCATGCCACACCCATTGTAGTGAACCACCCTCATTCCCTTTGCATTCCATTGGTGAGATACAAGTTCTACTCGAGCAGCTTCTTCCAGCGAATTACTGCTTTGTGGGACCGTCTACTAAAAGATTTTTGACGCGTTCACTTCAGTTTTAACCTGTTCACGTCTAGGATTAACCGTTATATTCCCCACATAAACTGTGCCTCTTACTCTGTCGCACTATAACTCTAGTGGCAACCGGGCCTTGTACATGATTATCATCATTGTGAAAATGGCTCAATAAAAAAAATCACTTTTTAAAGGTAAGATAAGGGATATAGAATTACTATATATATATATCTGACCGGGGGATGGAGTTTCAAAATAATGATAGATCTGAAGACCTTCATCTCCATTCCCAACTGTCTGGACCAGAAAATGCCAATTATTGTCACCGGGCGTAGACCAACTTGCTGGAAGTGTGGGCAGATTGGTCACCTGTCCTCTTCCAGCACAGAGAAGAAGGCCACTGAAATTCTGGCCCCTGTCGACCCAAATCCCCCCCTGCGATCGAGTCTGTTGCATCCGTCTCGCCTGTAATGGGCATGACAGCGATCCGGACCGGTTTGGTTAAACCCCTGGTCGCTTCTGTCTCTCAGCCCCTATTTCCCGAAAAGCCTTTTCCCGTGCGGCTGCGGAGAAGGAAGATGGGGAATGGCAGGTCGTTAGCAAGGTCAAAGGGAAGCTCTGGGCATTGGGACCTCGTTCCACTGAAGTCCCCACTGCTATAGACATGCAGCACCCCACTCCCTCTACCAGTTCTAAGGGCAACTCTCCGACCACGTACACTGAAAAACTGCGCCAACGGCGCCTGAAATACGGCCCCTCCTTCGAAAAGAAGGAAAAACTAGAAAAAATAAGAGTCTCTAAAGGTAAAACGGATTCAACCAGCAAGAAATCTTAGGCCATCTTCAGCAGCCCCATCTTCACCATCCAGGAAAAAAGATCCTTGTGGCTCAAATCCTGATCTCTTCCAAATTGACTCCCCTGAAGAAAAACTCTCCTTCCAAATCCCCCTTAAAAACCCCACTCTGTCCATAATTCCCAATGCATCTTGAGGCAGCTGAAGCAGCTGGGTGCGAGGGTCCCATCACAGAGTCGGAAATCTGGGAAGCACTGAAACAGGTTGGCCTGGATAAATCTTCGGGACTAGATGGTCTCCTCTATGACGTTTACTTGAGGCAGTCGCCCGTTTTTGTTCCTTTGCTGGAACTGATTTACAACAGCTGGATGAAACAGGGGTCTATACCTCAACGCTTCACCAGGGATGTGATAAAGTTGCTGCGTAAGGACGAGAACGGTGGGGATAGGTTAGATAACTTTCGCCCTTTAACCATGTTAAATACTGAGTGAAAGTTTTCAGCTTGTCCTGTCTAGTCTGATTGGCTCCAAAAAGACTTGTGCAGTGAAGGGTAGGACTATTCAGGACAACCTTCACATGGTATGCTTAATCTTAGAACAAGTCGACAGAGAAGCCGCGCTGATCAATTTAGATCAGTCCAAGGCCTTCGATAGGGTTGACCATCGCTTCCTGGAGGCTGTCCTTTCGGTGACCGGTTTTGAGACGGACTTTCGCTCCTGGATCCGACTTTTGATTGCGACTCCCGGTGCGCTGTTGGAAGTAAATGAGGTAAGATCGGAGCCTTTTGTATTGTCTCGCTCCATTCGTCAAGGATGTCCGCTTTCGCCTTTGCTTTACGTTCTTGCGTCGGAACCTTTCCTTCGCAAGTTAAAGACGAATCCAGTCTTGTGCGGAATTTCCCTGCCTGGTGTTACCACCTCGGCCAGGTATTCTGCCTATGCTGATGACGTTTCGGTTCTTGTGTCGAGCAGAACTGAGATTGACGAAGTCAGCAAAGAAATCAGTGGTTATGAGATGGTGACAGGGGCCAAGATCAACCGCGATAATTCTGTTGGCTTGCGGTTGGGTGCGTGAAAGGGAGTTTCTCTTCCCGGACCTTTTCTCTTGAGGGATGGGCCGGTCAAGATACTCGGCGTCTGGTTCCAACGTGATCTCCAGTTGGATATGAATTGGTCGGAGGTATAAGGGAAGGCCGAGATCACAGTTAATCTGGGGTCTAGGAGGAATCTTTCCTTGAAGGGGATGGCGGAAGTATGTGTTCCACACATCTAGCCGATTCTCCTTTACCGACTCTCTGTATTTCCACTTCCGTATGCCACACTAATGTCATTAGTAAGGTTCTTGTTCTCTTTCTAGTGGAGAGACAAGGCCGCTATGGTATCTCGGGAGATCTATTGCTTTCATACACCTGAAGGCGGTCTGGGTATGCCTAGCATTGAGATTCGTCCATATATGCTTCGCATCGCCTTCCTAGACTGAATGTGTCATGAATCGGATGAGGAGGGCACCTTTTGGAATGAAGACGCCCGTAAGAACTTCCCATACCTGAGAAGTGTGCACTCGAGCGAGGAGGAGGCCCACCGTTTACCCCGAGCCGAATACTCCTTCTACCGCGAATGTCGTCGTGCTCTGAAACGCCTTTTATGGGCGTCGGATGGCCTCTCCAACGTCCTGGCACTGTCTCGTAGGGCATCATATCAAGTATTAGTCAGGGGAGTCCGTTCGTGATGAGCTGATTGACGAAGCAGGAGGATCGCTCAATATGGCCTTGGGCGCCTGGGTTGAAATGCCTCAATAACGATAAGGTATCACTCACCTGGCTGGTGATTCGTGGGGCCCTATGGGTCGCCAAAAACTTTGTTCAGCCAGCTTGGATAAATCTCCAAACTGCCGACTCTGTGATGGGGAAGTCGAGACCATTGGTCACGCCTTCTTTCACTGCAGGGTGGTAGCGACGTTGTGCAAGTTTGTTGAAGGCCTCATGGTCCGCAAGATGCAAGGAAAGTTCTTTGTCTTTGAGGCCAGTTTTGTTTGTAGCAATGTGGTGCCACAGATGACGAAGGTTGAACACTATGTGTTCTTTTGCTTACTAGGAGTTATGAGAGTCGTGATTTGGACGCGTCAGAAGGAATTCTATGATGGTGAGAAGTTCACTTCTTCCCAACTGATCTTGTTCTTTAGGCATCAGCTTAAAGTCAAGATTAAGACGAAAACGAGGCGAATTTGGTAAAAGGTGGGTGAATCTTGCGCGTTTGTGCCGAGTAAAAGGGGCTGATCTAGAATGGCATTTTGATACCGGTTAGGCATCAGAATTTTGTTCTTCCTGAGTTGAACTTAGGCATCCCTTCCCGAATTTAGGTTAGTTTAGGTTTGTGTTTGAATATTTATTTATTTTTTTAAGTTAACTTAGCTAAGGTGTGTTTGCTCATTGGCCCATTTTATTTCGGTCCCTATTTTTCTTTAGTTTAACTCCCCATCCACTCCCTGGTCAGTGATGTCATTTCTCTGGTGGATGCGGGGCGCCTTTCGTTTCGCGTGTGTGTTTTTCGTATTTGTTGTTGTGTCAGAATAAGTAAGAGTGTGTTGTTTTGGTGTTAGGATTATTGTTTGGATGTTTGGGTCAGTGTTTGTGGCTAGCTAAGTTTAAAGTTAAGTAAGACAGATGAAGAACGTCATTTTCACCATATCCCTTTTTAGGCCTTGTGCCACTTTTTTTTGTATTTTAACAGAAATAAATATTGGCCTGACGATTGCGTATATATATATATATATATATATATATATATATATATATATATCAGGTCATCCCATAAGTTCTGTCCGAATTTTGAATAAAGAAAACAAGTGACCAAATGTTACATTTAATTACAGATTCAATCAACAATGTATTTTCCTTGATTATCTATGACTTCCTTCCATCTATTAACAAGCTTACTAATTCCATTACTGTAAAATTCTTTTAGCTTTGATTCGAAGAACTCACAAATGTCAGTTTTAACCTCTTCCTGTGTTACAAAAGCTGTTTCTTCCAAATGATTCTGTCAGCTACGAAACAAATGGTAGTCTGAAGGAGCAAGATCGGGAGAATAAGGTGGATGAGGAATTTTCTCCCAAACAAGTTCTTCGATCTTTTGTGACGTGATTCTTGTTGTGTGGGGTCGCGCATTGTCCTGATGAAACATCACCTCTTTTCGAATCACTAGAGCAGGTCTTTTTTTCCTCAAAGCTTGGTTCAAACGCTCTAACTGCTGACAGTATATTTGAGCATTAATTGTTGCATTAGGTGGTAAGAATTCAAAGTGGACTATTCCTTGGCGATCCCACAAGATTGAAAGGCTGGGGAAGTTCCCTTTAGCTGGGGTACTTCCCCTTTAGTAAGCCACTGTCTACGACGCTTAACATTTCGATAAAAGATCCATTTTTTGTCGCCAGTCACAAGTCTATCCAAAAAAGGTGAAAGAAGTTTGTGAGAATAGAGAGAAGAGCAGATGTCAACTCTGGATTTGAGGTTGTTTTCAGACAATTCATGAGGCACCCATTTTCCAAGTTTAGGAACTTTTCCGAGTTGTTGAAGATGA